TCATTTTTACAGGAGGGAATGCGGTTGGCATATCTGCTGCAGTCGTTACGCTCAAGCAGTGCCCACAATTCATACAGCTCAAAGCCGGAACCAGTAGTTATCCCAATATGGCAACGACTTCCGAGGATTCTCGCTTCCGGTGTCACAGTCATTTTCTTTGTAAGTCTTTTAAGGGGCTCCAAGAGGAGGATTTATGCTATTCGCTTTAATTATTAGCACTGTGATCTCTGATTTTCAGCTGTGTTTAATACTCGCCGCTGTTATTGGAACGATAGTATATCGAATTGTATTGATGCAGGTGCTTTATCGAGTGGATAGTATGCGCCCGTTTGCTGCCATTTTCACCTCCGTTACTACCGCCATTCTGAATCTCATCGTTATTCTAATTATGAGTTATGTAAGTGCTACTGTGGAGTAACATTACGATAATTATAGCTGCGCAGAAGGAATGATTAAAGTGAAAAAGTAAAAATTCTCTGCATATTGCTTTCTGAGGCACCCGAAAAGTAGCCTGAGTGATAGCAAATGCTAACAGCAACCGCCTACTGGTACAGTTGTTGATGATTTTCTCTTTCGAGGGTTGTTTACAAGCGAGTTGATGGTGGATTTGATTTCTTAACCTGTGCGTGTATCAGTTTAACATCGCATCGAAACGAATGAGTGGATCATAGAGGAATTAAATGTTAAAAATAAAAATTAAATGTTAAACATAGGAAAAAAATGGATGTTTTTTTGGGTTACTTACCTTTAGCTGTCACTCGTTATATTCGTTGCTTACGCTTATTCTGCTTCTTGGGCAAACTTCGACTAAGTTGAACTATCACTTTCAAATTCACTTTCAGTTTTACAGTTATCTTGCCTTGAAACTAACCGATTGGGAATATCCGCGCACGCAGTCCGAATTTGAACGAAGCTATACTGTGAAAGTTTTTCTATTTCAATTTATCAATTATTACTCGTCCATATTTTATGTAGCTTTCTTCAAAGGAAAGTAAGTTGTTACTCTCAGTTCACTGGACAGTTCAGTTTCTTTATTGTCGCTTTATCTGTTTAACTCCTTGCTAATCACAAATTAAGCACTTTGATTTGACAAACTTTTGCACTTCATCTTCCGGCGATGTTCCAGTTTTTCTGGCCTTCCTGGCCGGAGAGTATTAGGAATTCGTCCGGAAGATTGCGATTCAGCTGGATGTATGGTGGAGCTTGTTATTTTGCTGGCAACAATTATGTTTGGA